TCTGTGTTCTGCCAGTCCCCCATTTTTTCAGGCCTTGCTGGGAACCTGGAAGTGAGCTGAGTACTGATAGCTCAGTACTTTGGGGGCTGGGTGGTCCAGGCTGAGCTTGAGGGGCAGATTGTGAGTAAGTCTATCTGGTCTTGGGAAGTTGGCAATGTTTCAGGTAACATGCTCCCTTCCCTGGCAGGTCTGCAGCATTGCAGTTGCCCAAGAAAGGTGTGCTCATGGAACAATCTTAGGCACTATGGAGATGAATGGCAGCCACAGCTACTCTGATCACGAACAAATCCAGTCCTAAAGTACAGCTAGTGTCAAAGCTTTCGAGAAGTGCCCATGTGGGCAACACTTCATCCACAGCCATCTCCTCTTTGATTCTTACCACCACTGCCAGGGAGGGGGTAGCTTTCGCAGGGTTTTCTATTCCCCTCATACAAGTGGGGAATTAAGACAAGGCAAGGGCTTCAGTTGGTAAAAGGGTAGAAGCTGAGCCTAGGTCCTCTGACTTCCAACAGGGAAGTTGGCCCACCTGGACAGGTTTTCTCAAGGCCCAGTGACTCGGGGTGGGTGTTGCCAGCTCCATTGCCCAAACACCAGGGAGCTCCTCCAGAGGGATCACTCACCGGCAGGTCTGTGATGATGGCGTTTGAGGGGTGCCCCAAGCCGTATTCTTGCTCCTGCAGCCTTGTGGCCAAGTCCTGCTTCTCTCGTCCCCAGCGTCGAGCTGAGTCTTCTAACTGCCGACATAGAGAGGGACAGATGGAGAACTGCTAGGTAGCAGAGCCCATCCCTGAGATCTGTGACAACCAGCGCTTCAGCCTACTCTCTGGGCAGAAAGCAAAGCCCTGGGCAATGTGACCTTGCTATCTTCCCAAGAAACCTCAGGAGTGGCAGGGTTGGGTGGAGAGGGGCCAAGTGATAGCCTGGTCTGTTAAGACACAGGTGGACCTTCTTTGAGTTCCAACAACATATTGAACCCTGACCCTGAGTGCATACTGATTCTTGACTCTGGTCATAGACCGAGCCCTGACCCTGTAGACAGACACACAGAGACCTGATCCTCATCACAGGCCGAGTGTGAACCTTTCTAGCCTGATCAACTCCTGTGCCTCACCTACCTGGCTTTCCAGGGACAGGATCCGGCTCTGAGCTCGTTCCAGCTTGGTCAGGAGGTTAAACTTGTCTGAAGTAGTGGCAAGGAGATCCTGTGGGCAAAGCAGAAACTCTCACATGGCCCCAGCTGGGGGCTGTGGCTGAGTGAGCTCAGGTAGCCAGGAGATGATGAGGGAGGAACCAGCCAGGTCCAAGTTCCAACCTCAGCTCCCCAATGCAGAGTCTCAGACCCAGGGTTGAACCCTCTGCTGAAGTTCAGACCTGACACAGCACACGCTTTTTATGACAGCCGCTCTCCTCACAGATTTTGGGTATATAAAGTTTTTGCACATCAATTTTTAAATGTAAAATGCACGAAAGAGTTAGCACACAGATAGGAATCTTGAACTGGGAGTCTTTTTGCAAAGTGAAGAATCTGTGAAGCAAAGGCTCTCCCACTGCCAGCACTTTAAGTTGCAGCATTGTAGTTGCCCGCTGAGGGCGTGCTCACGGGACAATCTTAGGCACCGTGGAGCTGGGTGGTGGCTACAGCTGGATGCCCATGCATTACGGGTGCTTTCAAAAAGAACTCACCTCCTGTGAGTTCTGAGATAAAGAGAAAAACTCTCCTGTGCTTTGGGCCACCCCTCTTCTGTAATTCCAAATGTCCTGTCTTTGGTTTGCTTAAAGCAGGTGCACCTGTAGCAGCCTCAGAAATAGAGCAAGGGCAAGGCATGTCTGGGGCCTGGAGCACCCACCTGTGCGGGCAAGGTTTCTGTGCACTTGGAATGGCCTGGGCCATCTGTCTCTTGCAGCCTCTCTGCCAGGTCTCCTGCTCCCAACTCCCTGGGGTCCACCTGGGATGGGGGAAAAGGGCTCTCCAAGGCTGTACCAACCCAGGAAGTGCTCTAGACCAGAGTTTTGAGACACCTATGTGGAGTCTAGGTGCAAGGCAGCCAGGTGGCCAAAGGGGTCAGGGGTCAAGAGCAAGTTAGGGGCTTGCTTCCCCCCAGAATGCTAGATAAGGGTCGAGGTGAAGCTTTCAGACTCATGTGTTCCCCAGGAGAAAGAGCGAGCAAGGCCTGAGAACTGGCACTCCAGGAGATGCCAGGCACGTTGGAGACTCTGGGAAGCCTAGCTCCTGGTCTTGGTCTTCAACTTGGATTGTGCCGAGCAGTGGCTGGAAACCTGGTGACCTGTGCAGGCAAGCCCAGGCCAAATCTGTGCCAGCATCTCTTACCGGCAGGGCCTGCTGCTGCAGAATGATGGGGGCCGACTGTTGGCGGCTCTTTTCCAGCTCCGCGCGCAGCCTCGAGTTTTCTGACAGCAGCGCTGAGTAAAGGTCAATAGGCTGGTTCTCTCCTGTAGGACCCTGGGGAAGGCCAGAAGCTGAGAGCATGGGGAAGGCTGTGAAATGGCCACAAATGTTTATGAGATTGGCTTTCCTGCCTCCATGTCCCTAGCCTGATCTGCCCCAGCATTTGCTCCATTCTGCCTCTCCTCTGGCTCCCCACTGCCAGTGGAATCAGGTCCACACCTTTCAGGCCATCTTGGCTTTTGACCACAATGTTCTCCTTAACCGCTGCCCTACCCTTTGTCCTGGGTTTATTGCAACACTTCGTCTATCTTTCTTCCCTTTTCTGCTTCTGGCATGGTCATTCCCTAGGCCTTTGCCCTGGCTGATTCCCCTCCCGAGGTTGCCTTCTTGTCTCTCATCCCACTCCTGGATAACCTCAGGGCTCCTGAAATGTGGGCCCTACTTTCTTTTTTTTCCTAAAGGCCTTCAGAAACACCCCCAGTCCAAACTCTATGCAGTGAAAGCTGAACACAGGCTGGGCATGCAGGGGTCCCTGGTGATGCTACACAAACAGGCTCAGAGAAATCTTCTGCCGGGGCTGGCCTGAAATGGTGTGACCTGGTTCTCTCTTGCTCATCAGAGTCACCTCCGAATGGCAGTTCTAGATGGCTTTGGTTAACATCAATGGAGAAAACAAACCATTGATTAAACCAAAATATTTTTTGTTTGTTTTGTAGAAGCAGACTCTTTGAAGATATGGGAAATGAGGAAATAATTTGAAGGGTCCTGGAGTTAAGTTGGGAACTTCCCAGGTAGCCCCACTACCTCTTTCTAGCCTGGCTTATACACTGTGTCCCTATGTGTCCTGTGGGGCTCCCTGGGAAGAGAAGGGAGCTCAGAGGACCTCTGGAAGTGCTCAGAGCTTGAATGAATAGGGGAGTACCCCCCTGTGACCCAATTGGAAGGTGCTCCTGAAACCGAGAAGTCCGGGAAGGCAGGATCTCAAGGGATGGGATGAAAGCCAAGGAGCAGCCTCACCCACACTGGGCTTTCCCTGCAGCCTGTTTAGCAGGGGCTCGTTCCTCTCCCGAAGCTTGTCCTCTAGCACCCGCTCCATCTTCTCGATCACCTGCGGGGCAGAGTGCAGAGGCTGGTCTGGTCTGGGGGCTCTACATCATCCCTCTGTGGCTGGCCCCTGGCAGTCTGGCCCCTCCGGTCCCTGCCTTCTCCTGGTGCCTCACAGTCTCCTCCAGTGCCTTCATCTTCTGCAGCTTGTCCTGGTACCGCTTCAGCAGTGCAGCTTGTGGTTGCTGAGCCTGGTACAGGAGAAGCAGCTCCTTCTCTCGATCATTCTTCTGAAGGTGGGGGAAAGAGGGGGAAGGGGGAAAGAAGGGGTACCTAAGTGTTACTCTTGGCCTAAAGGGTCCATCCCACGCCCCTCTGCTGAGTTCTCTACTGTGCTGTCCCCCTTCTAGGCCCTTCTCCCTTCTGCTCCCAGACACTTCTCCACACACTCCTACCCTAGCTCCCGTCCACTTGGCTCCTCATGCCCTCTGCCCCCCAAGCCCCAGCTCACTCGAATCAGCTCATTCTGCAGATGCTGCACCTTGTCCCTCAGTTTCTTCATGTCCAGTTCACTCAACAGCAGTTTCTGCTTCATGAACACTGGGGGTGGGGGAGGTGGCTGGCTCAGGCAGGAGGCATCTCCCAGCTCAAATCAGAATAGTTGGGGGGCGGGCAGATGTCTTTCAGCCCTGGGGCTTGAGACAGGATTGGATTCTCTGTTTACCATCCTGGAGAGGGCTTAGCCAGCTCCTACCAGCCTATGTCCAGTAGCATGCCCACCTGGGAAAAGTTCCCTGTCACCCTGTCCTGAAATCCAGAGCCAGGGCTCAGGCAGACTCCAGGACACCCTTGGTGGCCTGCACGCTCTCACCCAGCTTCTGGGTTTTGTCCGCATTGTCCTGCTCCTCTCCCATTTCCTCCTGGGTCAGGTAGCTCCTCAGCATGCGGTTCTCCGCTTCCAGGACACTGGCCTGTTTCCGCAGCAACAGGATATCCTCTGCCATCTTCTGCATGGCCCGGCGGTAATTGTTTATCTCCTGTGGATTCCAGCACTCAGAGTTGAGCCTCCAGCCCACATCTGCATCCACACTTGGAAGTCAGTGGGTCACCCGCAAGGCCAACGAACAGAGTGAACCACAATTGTGCCCTCAAGTCTTAACAACACCTCAGATGGGTGGTTATGACTTGGTTGGCACGCTTCCTGACCCTATGAAAGAAGTTGAGCTAAGGTTCTCCCCAGGGGGCCATGTCTCTTCCTGAGATACCAACTGTGGGGACCCAGGACTCAGACACCATGAGGCTCCATCACGCATAAGCCCACGAGTGATGGAGACTCAAAAGGACCTGAATCCAGGTTTCCAGAGCCACTTCTCTGTCTTCTCTTTGCTCCTTTTTCTCTTTTCTAATCCTTCTTCTTCCTCATATCACTGAAAACCCAGGGAAGAACCTCTCAGAAATCTTACTGAATGCCACTTGGGAGATGACCTCAGGCACCAGTGCTTCCAACTGGTCCAGGGGTCAGGAAAGGACACTAAGTAGGCCCAGGAGACCCAAATAAAGACTCAGGGTTGGGATCCAGCTACAAGATGTGGGGTGTGAGGTAAGGCCAGAACGTCGGGCTCTGTCGTTAGGTTAAGAGTGACAGGCATCCTAAAACTTGGTGTTCCCTGAGCATTTACTATGTTCCAGAGCAGGAGGACTGCCCTCACTCAGTTCTCACAAGCCTGTGAGGGTCAGTGCTATGATCACCCTCATCTTACCAACCAGGAAACCATGGCCCAGAGAGGCGAGTAACTTGCTCAGTCACAAAACTGAATGGCAGAGACAGAGTCTGAAATCCAGTCCTGCTGGTTGAGTCTGTGACCCCAGGTACTGTGCAATTCTGCCACAATGCCCCTTTACTTGGAAACATCACAATATGTTGAGAAATGATAAAACAGGTCACTAAAAATAATTATCAATGGGATCTCAGTCTTGGGGGAGGGGGGCCAGGGAATTCATGTCTGCTCTGATGTATGCATAGGAGAATTAATAGGCTCTATTTTCATGCATTTGTTTCATAATCAGAAATTCCCTCCTGTTATTTAGAAAAAGTTTTGTAAAGGGAGTTTCTTAAATCTAAACAGCGCAAGATATAAAAGAGGGACTAAAAATGTGAAACTAGAAAGGTCCATAGAAGGGGAGGAGGTGCAGGAGGAGTGGGAGGAGGGAAGTGAGGCCAATGGGAGTTTGCTAAGCCCCTGTGCTTTGCCTTCCTGAGGCTGTGGAGGTCTTGCACATGGGGCGGGGGATCCTAAAACAGCCAGGCTCCCAAGTTCCGGGAAGCAGAGCTCTGTCCCCAACTCCTACCTAGGCCCCATGCTGACTGGGGATATAGCCTGATGCCCAGCCTCTGCCAACAACTTGCTGCAGGGTGGGCCACAGGCTTCTTGAGGAGGGGCTCCCAAACAGACACCACCTATCACCTGCTGCTGTCTAGCCTTCTTGCTAGACTCTGTCTAATCAGTGCCAGTGCTGGGTTCATCTCCCTAGCACCTGCCCCAGCAGAGTTCCAGGTCTTGGCTCCTTCAGATCTGCCATCTGGTGTCCTCAGACAACTCCATTAACTAGGAGCCAGCCCAGAGACCACACACACACAAAGGTTTGTAGTCAGACCCTGGTCAGAACCCAGCTTGGCCACTGACTCGCTGAGCGAGCTCAGACAGGCTCCTTCCCTGTTCAGAGCCTCAAATTCCTTACGTGAGATAAGCACAGGTTGCCGCAGGGCTCAGAGTCAGTGTATATGCGGCAGCTGGCACAGGCCCTGCCAGGGTGGGTATGACCTAGAGGAAGCCATTCTCATCCTACTCCTTGTCTGCTCAGTGGCTGCTTTATCAGGAGGTCAGATGCTTCCCTCTTCCTCCTGGCTGCCATCACTCATCACTTCGGAGAACTGCTTGGATACTGGATACTATTAAAGTTGAATGTATGCAGAGCCTATGATCTATCTAACCATTGTACTCCTGAGTATATACCCAATAAATATGCAAATGTGAATGCATCAAGAAGCAGGGATAAGAACATTGCTACCAGCCTTATTTGTAATAATCCCAAAATGAAAACAACACAAATGCCCACCATAGTAGAATGTTGAGATAGTCGTACAGTGGAATACTATATAGCAATAAAAATGAGCCAGTGCCACGAAGAAATCTCAAGCAAAATGCATAAAAGAAGTTGAACACAAATACCTACTCTGTGATGCCATATAGATCTGGTTCAAAAACAGACAAACTCAAGCGATAAGTTAGAAGTCAGGGTATGAAGTCTATTTAGGGAGGTGAGGGGTGATTGGGAGGCACCAGGGAGTTCCAGTGGTGTTGGCAATGCTGTGCCTCTTGACCTTCATTGAGCCTTTACTATTTACTTTGTAATAATCTATCACAGTGAATATACTTATGTTTTATGCATTTGTCTGAATGTGTGCTGTACTTCATGTAAACAAATTAAAAAATTTAATGAATTAAAAAATAAATGACATCTTGGCTCAGGTTTGGTTAAGTACACAAAACCTCCACACTGCTACCCTTCTCTGAGGACCCGCCCAGCTCTTAGCAACAGTGGGTTCTTCCCAGCCGTGAGCTGTGGATGCTCCTATGGGTCCTGCTCATAGGCCCTCACTGCAGCCTCTGCATCCTGTGAGGTCTTCTCTATTCCCATCCTGGAGAGTCAGACGGATTCAGCTATGCCTCCTTGCAGGGCCTTCTGACAATGAGACTCAGACTGGTTCAGTGACGTAAGGTCACACTGCCAACAAATGTAGAGAAAGCACTGGAACCCAGACTCTGCTCTAAAACCTGTGCTCTTTGTGCTTACTTGATTGAAGAAGGCTGGGGGCCTCACCCAGAGGGAAGAATAGCTTGATTTTGAGCTGAATCTGTCTATAGAAATTAAAGGGCACTGATGGGGGAGGTGGCCAGCACAGGTACCAATGTCCATTTGATATCCTGAGGCCCCATTCTGCCTTTTGCCCCTAAGACCAAGGCTGCCTTGGAGTGGAAGTAGAAGAAGGGGTTTCCCTGTCTTCCCAAGGAGCTGGACATGCCCAGGCCTCCCTTAGTCAGGAAAGGTAGGTGTGTAGCTTCATCTGCACCTGGCTCAGCACAGTATGAATACGGAAGATTTGAATGAGGCAGCCTGATCACATTGCTAGCTCACCAGCTTCTCCTGCAGGGGCCCCAGGCAAGGAAGGACCCTGCTGGATGCTGGAGTTTGGGCATCTTAGCCTATATGTATGTGGGCAGAGGGCTGAGATCATCACGGCTGTGATTCAGAGTGAGGTATTGAGGTTTGGACCAGATGCAAAGTCTGAGGCCTGGCATGTAAAGCCTCTTACAAGCTACTCCCTCATGCACACTGACCCAACCATTCCCTTCCAGCACACACTCTTATTCCTCCCTACATAGCTCCACTCATGTTGAACTATCTGCAGAGAACCCTCCTCCCCCATTCCCATGACCTCATCTGTGCTTTTATGGTCCACTCCATGAAGACTGTGTGTGTGTGTGCATGTGTGCACACATTCATGGAGAAAGTCCCAGGGGAAGGGGCTGCCAGCCCCTCAGCCTACCCCATGGGTCTGATCACCTCCTCGTCTCATTCAGGGCTCTTTCTTTCTAGGATCCCATTGTTCTTCATCCCAGCAGTCCCAGGGGTAAACAAAGCTCTGTTCTTAACATTCCCCCTTGACAGACAAAGAAAGCTGAAGCCCGGATGAAGTGGGTGTCCTTGTCTCAGCCAGATGGCCCCTGTTGGAGAAAGGGTCATGGCTTCTTCCTGACTCCACTTCTTAGAGGTTAGCCCTGTAGACCTTCCCCAGGTCCCAACACCACCCCCAGCCTGGCCTGTCTCTGAGTGTGAGGTTTCCCCAGGCGGATGGAGAGGGACTCTGGCCTTGGCTTGTCCCCGTCAGTGTCTACTCTGGCCAGCGCCCCCTGTCCATGGGACCCAGAGAGGTGGCATTCTGGTAGGCCTGCCCTCCTTTCTCAGTTTTGCCTATTCCTACAGCTGAGCAACCTTGGGCAGCATAGCTGGGCTGGGAGTCTGCAGTCTGACTTATCCCTGAAGCCTGGGCTGAGCTCCCCACTCAAGGCCATGCTCTGCGTCACAGCCCAGCCTTGAGAACACACAGGACACCATGTCCCAGATTCTTGTTATGGTCCTGCCCCTTCTTCCCCCAGTTCCTAGCTTATTTGGGCTAGCACATCCTCTAAGGGCACTGATTCCACCTGAGTCTGATCCTGAGTGCCCACTGTACCCTCTAACCCCTTGACATCCCACAAGGGCCCCAGCTTTTAGTCTGCTAAGGTGAGAAGCATCAGGTGGCCCTGGGTTCGAATCAACCCCCTGTCACTGAGTGCTGGTGGCTTTTGCCACATCAATACTTCCTCTCTGGCTCTAGAAGGGGGGCAGCTGTGCTCTGAGCCTCGGTGTCTTCATCTGTGGATGGAAAATAGCCCCTCCTCAAGGGGTAGCTGTGGGGTGAGAGGGTGTGAGGAGAGCATGCTGAGCCCTGGCACACAGGGTACCCAGAGATGAATGCCTGTCCTTGTGCCAACTTTTGAGTGCTTTTTAAAAAAATTAATTATTCTTGCAATAGCCCTAGGTACTGGATATGGAAAGTATGATTTTGTGACTATTTGTATTTTACAGAAACTGAGGCCTAGTGCCCTCCTTGCCTGCCCTCTCTCTCATTAATTAAGGAGGAGGGGCAGTAGTTATCTTTCACAAAACCCGGAAGAAGGCAATTGTTAGCCCTCTCCCTGCCCCCAACAAGAAATTCTTATGGTGGATTATGAGGCATTTCACCTAAGTGGGGAAGTTCAAATACACCTGTGGTCACTACCGACTGTGTTGACCAGAGGGGCCTTATACTCTCATTTTACAAATGGGGAAACTGAGGCCAGGAGGAGCAGCAGTATGTTCAAGGTCACAGAAACTAGTTGTAAAGCCTAGGCAGGCCAGTAAGCAGGCCAGTAAACACCCAGTCAACACACTT